TCGTCAGATCTCACTACCCATACAGACAGATAGAGCACGCCATCGTCAGATCTCAGTACTCTCAGTGCTCTGAGAGACCCGCACTGAAGGATGTGTGCCTGTGAAGCATGTTCACAGGCACACACAGGGCTCGGTATACCACTGGGATCATCAAAGCTGTTATATTGTGTTTTTGTTGGTGCTTAACCCAAAATTAGGACAGGTCTATGATGAGAAATTAATGCCATCCTGCACAGGGCTCTCTCACCGCCTCTGATCGCGGCCCCTCTTTCCCACAATAACTATCTTGTGGCAGAGAAAACAGCTGAGCAAGAGATTTCTAGAGCCGATTGCCAGGAAACAGTCTTAACTGCTGGTTGGCGGGGACCAGGAATGTGGCATTGTGTGGTATTACACCACAGCGTGTGACAAGAGCAGCGGACTGCGGCATGTGCTTGCCAGTCACCTGTGAAACCTGTGGCCAGCCAATCGTGGTGCCATATCCCAGGACAAAAGACAACACTGGGGCAACAGACAGGGACACCTTTGTACAGGATGTCATTTTACCATCTAGGTTTTGACTCCAGAGTTGCTCCTTAGCAAATCTACTCTCACAAACAGTAGTGTCTCTCGCTGTCACTGTTTCAGAGACTCCGGTAAGCACAATTTTATTTCAGCTCTTCCAAAGCTTACAAGCCCGTAAGGTAAGGAAATGAGCCATTTTTTTAACAACATTGCCATACCACGCATAATATTCACAATTCACTTGTCAATGCTGGCAGCGTCAATGCTAAGTTCATTGCAATGCTTTGTGTTTGACACAGAAATTCCCCCACTGCAGAGAATTTACATGGTGCTCCCACATGTTTTCCAGAATTTATGTCATGTGTTCATGTTACAGTTTAGTTTGCTTTACTTTGCCATAGCTCCCTTTTAACCACAATTGTGCTGCAAAGCCTTGTACTTTCATAGAGCTTGAAAAATATGTCTTAAGCCGTGAAATGGACCAGCGAAGGTGATGGAAAGCTCTGGAAACAGAGGTCAAGCCTGTAAAAGAGCATTAGCGCTTTTAACATTTTTAGGATTAGAAAGAATTTGATAGGCAGAAGACAAAAACCGAATTGAAAGTCACCACATGAAACAAATCTGCCTCCCACTCCTGCCTCTCTTTCCCCCTTTGATCAAAATGGAAACTCAGTTTGACGTTGTTGGGGTAAGTCTCCGTGTGACCTTTGACCCCTGGCCTTTTCGTTACCGTGGTTTCATAACGGGAAGTTATGATGGGACAACAGACGTCCTGCTTCAGGGAACCCAGAGTCTACGGGTGAGGGAATCTGGAAGACAGAGGAGCTGAGGACCTGGCTGAAGTGGTACCTGTGGGCGTGGTGACGTCCAGGCACTGCTGCAGGCTGCCGGAGGGGAAGGTGATGAAGGTGCAGCAGTAGGTGTCGTTGGCATCCAGACGCCCCCCCTTCAGGACAAGCACGGAGCGTGTGGACGAGGGGCTGAAGAGCTCCAGGCTCGCTTGGTGCTCAGTGGGGATGTGAGTGCCAAGATCGATGTGGTACACCGCCAACTTGCTGTGATTGGCGCCTTGTACCCTCTCCCAGTTAACCTGGGACACCTTCTCATCCCCAGACAGGGCGCAGGTCACCGTCAGGTCAACCCCAGAACCCCTCTCCTGCCACATCGTGATTCGAGTGTTGGATGTTCCTGGCGAGATAGAAAACGAACGTGGTTATTTTTTCTACAGAAAGCAGCACTTCTGTTTTTTTTTTACTTTGTTACCTATTTAACAGATTTTACTTAGAACTTCTTCCAAACTAAAAGAAAAGTTTAGCGTGTCTTTCCAGCCGTGTCCGTTGACCATCGATTGCGTCAACCTTTTTCACAGCAGGTGACTGAAGCACCGCAGTATTGGCCACGATATCGCTGATAGCACCTGCGGAGTGAAAAAAGCCCCAAACAGAGGTTCCCATTGATGGTTCTGTGTTCCCTTTGGCTTAGCAGGTTCAATGTGTTTCATGTATGACATGTTAATCGTCAATCCTATCGGTCAACATATCCAGTTAAACCAACCTGTGATCATCACCATCACCACCGCTGGTCTTGGACAGAGGTGATTGTGTTTTCTTGTTAATGAATTTGGTCACTTTAAGGCAGCAAAGTCTGGCCTCGAACGGCTCCAGGAGTCTCGGGGGCCTCAGGAGCCTGCGGTCGGATCTGCTTTGCCACCATGCTCCTCATACCTCCCTGCAGGGCTCGGGAGTTGCCTTTGTGTTGGCGCGTCGCTCGGAGAGCCTGTGTATCGGGAAGAGACACCCTGTCCCGTGCCTGGCCTGCAGGGCCTGGGCTGTGCATGTCCAGCTCAAAAGAACCAAGCTTAAATACAAACCGATGAATAGATGAGATGCTGAATTTTCTTTCTTGTCTCTGTCACAGAAGTGGAAATTCACTGCTGATACGACTTCCTTGCCTCTCCCTCCTTCTCCTCCTCCTCCTCATTTTTCATATTGTAAGTTGCTTAGTTTGTAATGGTTGATAAATGTGACGTGCTTTGGAAACAATTTTAGTTTCACTGATAGGCCTTGAGAAACAGAGATTTCCCGTGCCGATCATTTTGATTGAGGAAGCTGGTCTTTCTGTGTTTATAAGGGTGAAGCCCTTATGCTGCTGCTGCGTTTTCACAGTGACTGCCGCGTGTTGTGACGAGCACCTGATTAGCACGACACACCACGCCAGCTGTTGTTTCTCAGTCAGGACCGCCGTGGTGTACGGATTACACTGGGAAAGGCTGTTAAAGCCAGAGGGAAGCAGAGCGGTGGTGAGCTGCTGTAGAAGTGCGAAGACACTTGGATAACCTGGCCCTGTCACCCGCCCGGAAGACGATGACGTCGCTTTCGAGAGGTGCACCCCTCACTGCCGAGACCGTTACGCTAGGGCAACCGGCTGAGCTCTCCCCCATCTCCAGCAGACGTTTCAGAACCACAAATCAAAGTCGGACGATTTCCGTTTCGTGTCCCGTGCCGTACTATCCATTCGTGGAGCTTGTACAATGTAGTTAGGAAAATCGGGAGCGTATTTCGCCAGGAGCCAAGAAGCTCTGGGATACCCCTTCTTTGTGCTCGGGATCATAACAAACCCGGGTTGGTGGCCAAGGGTTTCTGGGATCAAGGAGTGGGGTCTGGAGTTAGGGAAGGGTTGGGGATTCAATTTTCACATTGAACCGGGGTTCACCTCCTGGGGACCCACCTTTCTCTTGGTCTTTACTTCAACTTAGCCCTGCATCACCTTCATCGAAGCCTTAACTGAACTAACATTTAACTCAAGCAGATGTTTTCTGAAAAATCTTTACTCATTAAGAGGTGTCAAACGTCAAGGTGACACGGGAATTTGTGGCTGTAACTGGAAAATTGCAACTTTTTGTCCTCTGGGAAGCGGGGGGGAATTGCCACTTTGTCGGTTTTTCAGGAAGGGGAGAGGTGAGGGTGGAGGGGAAAAGGATAACTGAAAAAAAAATCTAATTAACCAATTAATGAGTTCAGTTAAGAGTTTGAGTTACCGGACTCTGTTGGAGCAAAAACCAGGACACAGTCAGCAGTAGCAAAACCTAGTGGTTCAAATCTCACGTGATATAAAGCATGAAGAAACAGCATCTGGAGTATAAGGAGGGTTAAAACATGGAAAATCTTCCAAATCACCCCGACACTTGACATGGTAAACCTTCATTAGAGAGCAATGGATGTGTCACAGGCTCAGATTGGGGGGTGAGATGGAAATTATCCTCCGATCTCAATACGACAAGAAGCACTACTAGGCCCAGATACAGCAGGTCACCTTCTCTTTCCAATCTGGATGCTAAAAAGTAGCAGTAGATGTAGTAATGAAAAATGAGCATCGGGTTGCTACAGGATTTTGGACAAAAACTTAGACATATTTTTGCAAATGTCCTTCAGTCCAGTTTCCTTTTCTCTGGCTGAAGATGACAGTGCAATGCTTCATTCATTTGTTTAATTTCTCATAAGTTGTTTTATGTGCAGCCGATCTGTTTGTAAACAGACCAGTGATTGTGCCTTATCAGCCCAGCAGCTACCACCTGGTCCACTCCATGGTCTGTTCACAGACAGATCGGGTGAACTGTCAGAAGCCGTATAGTGGTCAACCTATCTAGAGCCCCCTTGAGCACCCTCTGTTCATATCGCTCGTCCCAGGGATATGTCTAGCCCAGCCTCGGCGTGTGTACGCTCTTACCTGTCTGCAGGCAGGCCAGGATGAGCAGGAGACAGGCCAACTGTGTCTGCATCTTTCCCCTGCCAGGATGGCTCTGCGCTAGACAGGTTGTTTCACAAGAATGTTTCAGTCTCGCTTTCTCTTTGCCCCTCCCACTCATGCTCTGCCTCCTTCCCTCTCACGGTCTCTCTTTCTCACTTTCTCTCACTCCCCACTCTCTCTCTAGCCTATCTTTGCACTATCAGCCCCGCTCAATGCCTCTTCACTCCCTCTGCCTCTGTGTCTCTTTCCCTCAGTCTCTGCTGCTGTCCTTCACTCTCTGCGGTCTGCGTTTGCATGTCTGTCTGCACATTTTCAACCTTGAGCTACTTTCAGTGACTTCCATTGCTCCAATTTACCATCCTGATTCCTCTGATCAAAGATTAATTTATAGTTCAGACTGGTGGTGCATCATGCTCTCTGTGTGTCTACATCAAAGCATTGCTGTTCGTCTGTCTCAGTGCAGTGTTTTCTGTCTTTATGTGTCTCTCCGATTGTATTACTCTCCTCCTTTGCTTTCTCACTCTCTCTTAGGCCCTCCCCCCCATATACAGTATCTTATTGTGAAATAAAGCAGCTGCAGGTTCTGCAGGAAGGAAATGAGAACAAAAGAGGTGCTGGCCTTTTGCTTGCGGTCCGCTCTCTGTGTGTCAGAGACGATTGTTTCCATTGCGATTCCGATCTTATCGGAAAACCGCGCAGTCACAGGCGAGCCACCGCACTCCCCCTTGACAGCAAGGGAGCGCAAATCACACATTTTCCCCAGCTTTCTGGTTCCCTTCAACCTCTTTCCAGGTTGAGAGTTTAGCTCTTCAGAAAACAAACAACAGTGTTCAGAAACCCTATGTTTATTCCCAACATAAGAAAGGTCACAAACAAGCTGAGATTGTTTGGCCCCGTCTAGTTTGTCTGGCTGACGATCACCAATGAATCTGAAGATTTCGCCCAGCCGTGTTTCACCCACCCTCCTGTCTTCAGTCGTTTTCAGCTCAGTTTCGCTGTGGATTCCGAAGACCATTAAGGTGACTCTGTCATTTTGGGTGCTCAGTACTTGAACCAGCTGCCTTTGTACAGTAGTTGTTTCAGGTTCAAAACTAAATTATTTTATCCCGTAGTCTTTAACCCCACTATGTATCTGGTTGCTCTTCTATATATTGATTCCTGAACAGCAATATCATTTTTGTAACATGCTGACCAAAATAGTATACTGTATTTAGTAAATAATGAGGTCTTAAATTAGGTCTTATTTGTGCATTTTTAACAAAGCATCCTTATATAATTCCTAACATTTTTGTTTGCCTTTTAAGTGATTCCCCACTGTGTCTAGAAAATATAAAGGATGTGTCAGCATACAGTATGTGCCTAATTCTTTTTCATAGGCAGGTTCTTCTTATTAAATCTATACATTATGTTCTTGCTACCTGAATGGAATACTCTGCAGGTGTCTACATTAAATGTCATTAGCCAGCTGCTTGCCCATTCTCTAATTGTGTCTAAATCTTTTTGAATTTCTTTTTCAGTTTCTGTAGCATTTTTCCTATTTTGTATTGTTAACGAGCCTGATTAAGTGTACTATAATTAGGAAGAGTGGCACTCCACTAAGGACATCACCCTAGTCTGAGTGCCTGACTTGACTTCTATTAGACCAAAGGATGTATGTTTGGACGTTGCATTACAATGACAGATGCCACTGCACTGTTTAGTGAATCTAGGTGAGGTAGGTGAGGACCACTAAGTAGGCTCCGCACTCCAGGTCAGCTACATGAAATTCGTTTTGCCCCAGTTCATCATCTCACTCCCCATGTTCTCTCTCTCTGTCTTTGTGATTGGGATACAATACTGTAAAAAACATGCCGTCCTTCAGATGAGATGTAAAACCGAGGCCCTGCATGTCTGTGGTCATAAACATTCGAAGGGTGTCTCTCAAAAAGAGTTGGGGTGTTACCCCAGTGTTCTGCTTGTCTCCTGTCTCTCCAGCTCTCTTCCTCTTTGTGCATTTGATTTTTCCGATGTTTATTCGATGGGAGGTACTTGCTATGGTGATACAGCAGCTGTGTAAATATGGACCAGAGTGGACCAGCTTTCAAGTACTGAAAGAGCTGGAGGTTAAACAAGGATGGACAGATGGTGTACATAATGACTCTGTGGTGGCTATACTGAATGAGGGTTTTCAGTGAAGGTTGTTTCAGTACTGTAGAGTTGATGTACTTTCTGTTGTTTGCTTAAAATGGTTGAAATTGCATCACTCTCACCCCATGTACACACCCCTCTATAAATTCAGTGACCTGTTTCCCTTTTCTTCTCTTCTCTTCTTATTTCTGTAATCAAAGGTCCCGTTCTACAATTTCAAACACTGCAATCATTGGCCCATTAGTTAGAAGAGGGCACAAAGTGTTTCTTTTCCCTTTCGTCTCTAACTGGAGACCTGCATGACCAGGGTCAATACTATATGTGTTATCCAGAGTTCCTGCTAGATGACACCTGTTCACAGCCATTCTTTTTTGGCAAAGAATGTTTGGGCAATTTGCTCAGAACACATTACGGTGGCCTAGTTATTGTCATGATACAAACCCACAAGCAGTATAGTATATTTAGCTACATTTGAACAACTTTAAACACTTTTAAGTCAAATCCACTTCCCAGCAACTATGATGCAGTAGTGTTTACTGCTGGACACTCAAATGGGGCACTAATAGTATTATATAAACTGGCTGGACTGTAAACTCTGTTCTCTTTGTGCATGTAAACTTAGCCTACATTTTGCAATTTCCCTGCCTATTGCTCTTTCCCAGAGGCAGGGATGGGTTATCTCTTACTGTTCCCTTTTCTCCTTCTCCCTGTGCTTCACACCCCCCATCCTCTGTATCCCCTCTCTTTCTCTGTCTCCCCAACTCCCTGAACCCTCTTACTTCTTCAGCTTGCCTTCCCCCTCCTCCAGTGTTCAATATTGTTGAGAGTATTTTCCATGTCTGTGACCTTTGGGATTGGGACCTGGGGGGAGGGGGGCTCATTTCAATCAGAATATTGACTCCTACACCAGTCGCCACAGGCAGGAAATCCATTTCAATTAACAGCCTCCCATCTTTAATAAACAAATGTCCCTAAGCTGGAGATGTACCGACCTCTGTCTGTGACGGCAGGCCCAGTCCTAGCTGCATTAGCCCCATAGCTGGCATCTGATGAGTGTTGAACTTTTCCAATCAATTTCTATTCTTAGATGGGAGCTATGGGGTTTTTCCAGCTTTCTCTTGTACTCTTGCTGTCTTAGTCTTATTTATTTAACTGGAAGAGTGTAACTCCACTGTCCACGTCTGGATAGGTTCTATAGCTACTGCACCTTGAATCAAATGAGAGCTCAAAATATTAGATCTGTTATGGTTAATTGGCACTGTAAGTCAATGACACTAACCATGGCTTTGCCAAGTATTAATTATACTTTTCCATGGTTTAACACTTTAGTTTATAGTGCATTAACCCTGATTACACTCTACTTGGCACTCCTGTTTCCACAATGATAGGCCATGACAGCCGATAGCCAGGAGCACACAATGCACCTGTGTCATTCTTTGGAGCAGCACACACAGCGCAGCGACACAGTGGCCAGGGTCCCACTCCAGTGCGGTGACTGGTCTCCCACTCACTCTTTCCACACTCACCCCCTTTCTTCCTACAAAACAAGAGAGAGCTATAGACCTCACCAATCTGTTCACGCTTGCATCACTCTCTGTCCCTCTCCACCTCCCTTCCTGGAGACACAGGTGGAGTAAAGGAAGGCACGCATTTATCAGTTCTTTTCAACACAAGATGCCCAGCCACTTTCTTCATGTTGAATCCCTAGGAAGACTCAGGGATCAGATCCCTGGGGAGAAAAAACGCTTAGTGAGGAAATGCAAAGACCCATGCTAGGTGGGCCAGATGGACCTCCCTCCATTGTGACCTTCCTCCTGTTCTCCTGGTCTAATTCAGGGCATACTCTGGGCGTCTGCTGTGAGAGGGGGGGTAGAAACAGGTGTGTGCCATCTTCCCCTTCACTTTCTGCCCGTCCTGTGCTAGTTCTGAAAAAGCACACAGAGCTTTTACACCAGCGATGAGGGTACCATTGCCGTTGTGAACCATAGACGTGTGAAACCACCCTAAAGAAGCCCTTGTTGTGGTGGATCATGGAAAGACATTGTCTGATGTAGTTCAGCACAGAGAAGGCATGAAGAAGGAAATTCATATCCAGAGACTGAACAGGTGCAATTGTCAGCAGCTTTTTGAAAGTGATCACACCATTTTCTCCTCCTCTCTAGTGATACTTTGATAGCCTGTTATAAATTTCTTCTCCTCCATTCTTCCTTCTCCCTGACTCTCCCCTTCTCTCTCTCAGCTTTGGGGTCCTTCAGGTGTAACCTGTATATGGCTCTTTCTTTGTCTCGTCTCCCAAAGTGCCTCCTTTCTCTTCCTGTCTCCCGTGTCTATACATTCCAACTTGTCTTCCCACCCTCTTCCTCTCTCTGTCCTTCTTTCTTCATCTATAATGTAAGATTTCCCTCGTGGGTCACTCTCAGCCTTTTGTGTGCTTGTGCTTGTCTGCCTCCTGTCTGTGGTTCTTATTCCAGTGCTTGTGAGCCCTGAGCCTCCAGTGCAAAGAGGTGGGGCTGTCTGGGTAACACACCCAGGTGCGCCTTGGGTGATCAGAGAGCACACTGAGGGGAGGTGTGAGTGTGGGGTAAGGAAAGGTGGGGAAAGTTATGTAAGATGCCTGCTGTCAGGTGCCAGTTTCTTCTCTGACAATGGATCCTCCGACATCTCAAGGGCACAGATATTTAGGAAAAAGGACCCGACACGTGCTGCTCCGTATGTGTTAAGCCTTGTGGGCAATTCGCCTAGCGGTCAAGTCACCATGAATCTGATGAAGCCACAGAAAAATCCCTTTGTACTTTAAGAACAAATAAGGTGGAACTTTAAATATCACAGCAAAAAACTAAAATCTTTCCTAACTGGGTGCCAACAAGATATCATTAAAACATTAAATTGCTACTTTCAGTGTATATTTACATATCTATCGTTCTGCAATAATAGGGCTAGATCTGACAGTCATGCATAACCCCTCTGACAAGGAGATGCCCTGGTTTTCATCAGTAAAAAAATGAGAGATGCACAAAAGAACTTACTGACTTTCACCCAGGCTGTGCTTTAAGGAAGTGCGAGGTGTGTGACTGTCAGTCATCTCTAACTAACTATAACTGCCATCTCTTTCAGCCATTGCTGATTGTCCTTCCTGCTTTGAGCATAAGCCGGCAGTGGCTAGTGTGGCACTAAACGCGAGGGGCGTGTTCAGTGTGGAGGCGGAGCCCTGGAGGAAGGGCGACGCCCCGCCTTTTGAGTCACAGCTGCACACACTAATCAAAGATGAGCTGCAGCTGTGAGGGCTCTTTAAAAGCACACTGAGCACCCCCCCAAAGAAGACAAGCAGGGCACACCCCCGGAAGGGGAGGATCGTACACTGGCAGTCCCTGAGGGGGTTGTATCCCAGTGTGAGGCCATTTTTCTTCTTTTTCTTTTCTTTTTCTTTTATCCTGTCCCGTCCTGTGTCTATACCGGGACAGGCTTACCTTTTCCCACAAGTTCAGTTTTTATTTTGGCCTCGTGCTCTCTATCTCGCGGGGTCCAGTCTGGTCCCTGCCACCAAGTGGGGTTCTTTTTCCCCGGGCTGGACCCTGTTAGATAGGGCAAGTCCCGCCTGGGTGCCACTCCACACGACAGCGCAGCGCCACTGTACTCAACAGCACATTTTTGTATTTTTCCTTTTTGTCTGTTTCGTTTTCTTTCGTTTTTACGCTTCGACTTATACGCTCGCCGCGGCTCCTCCCACTGTCGCGTTGTTACACTCCCTTTCCTCTTCTTGTTTGCTTTGTCGTGATTTGCCGTAGAAACACAACTAGAAAGGAAAGGCGCGTCTCTATGTGAGGAGGGGGATGGAATGGAGGTTAAAGAACAATCAGAATGAATCGGACTGATGGCATCAGGAGAGAGGGATGGGAAGATAGGCTGACCCGAAAACAAGCTGTACGTACGCTTAAAATCACATCAAGAAGATGATCCAGAATATGTAAGGACATCAGAGATGGACAAGCAGCTGGGTAGAGGGACAGATGAGGTTAATGTATTTGCGTCATTTTATTCTTAAAGAGCTAAGAGTGTCAAAAAAAGACCCCAAACACAATCAGGACCACTCCCAGTATGGAATATGAAAGAATACTTTTTTAGATTTTGTTGATGGCATTGTTTTTTTTTTTTGTTGTTGATTTTTTTTTTTTTTTAGATTTTTTGCTTATTATTTATTTGGGAGGTGCAATACAGGGCACATTGGAAATAGTATCACTGCTATAACTAATTAATTCACAACACAAGATCAGCGCCTTGCTGAGACATTTTGAAGGCAGGATAGCGGCACAGACTACAACACAAAAACACACAATAACACACATGCACACAAGCACTACATACTAGCTAGGCCAGCTATGACAACACCATACAGTGCATATCCCAATGAGAGAGACGTCCATGATCCTGAAAGAACTAGGCATGGTTTAAGAATTAAATATGACACAATTTTTAGTGTCTAAGCTGATTAAGTACAAGGAATGCCAAACAGCTTTGAGCTTAGAGAATTTAAAACTGCTGAGTTTGCCAACATCCTCCGACAGCAATGCTCCGAGGATACAATCTCTTTACCATTATAGTTCATTAACTAATAAACTAATGACCATAGCTGTTTTGGGAGGGAAATGGGCATCACAAGCTGTTTGCATATAGGGGGATGATCTACACAAACCTTGAGCTTCAACTATATTTATTTTTTTACTCAGCACAAAAAAGGGGTGATTTTCAAATCCCACTCTTGTCAGCACAGGGGAATTAGGTTCTCTTTATCCTGATTAGGACCAGCATATCAGTGCCTAGTACTTAGCAGCCAGTCATCCCATTGAGCTTACTGACTATAAGCAGGACTGCAATGATGCTCTTCACTCTAGGGAGTCTGATCAGCCAATCAGTACTGTAAATTAATTCCAACGAGAGTGGTCAGCCTGTTCACTATAACTTTGACTGCCATTCAGCAGCACCAATATAAGCTGTAGATGTAATGGAGGGGATAGGCACTGAGGGCTGGTATAACCAAAAACAAACATCCATCTGAGATAACCTGGACTGAATGTCAAGCCCAGCAGCTACCCATGACATCCTGGGACTCTGCCTCATTCCAACTTCCTGGTTACTTTTTTTTTTCCACGTACGCTAAAGTTCTGCTGGTGTGGACAATAAAACACTTTTCCTCAATGAGCTGCTTCACAACCTCTATAATTTTACCTTCTAATAAGGTATTTGTATTTTGATAAAACAATTCCTATCCTGTTGATAGAATCTACTGGCAATGCTAGGTTAGTGTCACAGCTTTGAGACACTCATCTCCAGGTTTCCTGTGTGTCAAAAGCTCCCTGTGGACAGGCATGCTTCTGCATCTGGGCAACAGGATGTTACCACAAAGTGTCAAATAGGTGATGTGGGAGAGGCAGCGAGTTCACAAGTGTATGGAGCTGACTTACTGATGGGACCACAGTTAGTGGTCAGACATGACGCTGTTATGGCATAGTTGTGAATTAGGTCCACTACTGAAGGAGCTATGATTTTGCTAGCAGGCGCAGACACCACTCCAGCAATGTTTGCAGGCCCGAATGGATTTTTACATCAATTCCATCACCGTAACTCTGAAAACGTCATTTGGACTGGTTTGTGTAATCTTTTTACATTTTCTCAAAAACCAACACGCAGCTCTCACAATGCTTTCCAGCTCTTTTAAATATGACACTATTTTATACTTAGGCAAAAGTAACTAGGCTCACGACCTATATCATTCTTGGGTGGTGATCAAGAGCGTTCTGGGAATTTCTGGGAATTGTGTGTTTCTGAGATTTCCATAAGAAGTGATTGCAATGCACTGGAATTATTGAAAAATGTCCTGTACCAACCTCTGCAGTCCTCACAAACTGTATCCATAACACAACCGTATGTCTATATACAGTATCTATACGTGTTAAGTATATGTTATGCTTCCAAAACCTTTCAACATTGAGAATTCAAATCTTTTCTGATCCTGTTGTTTTGGAGGAGTGAGAGTGAAGAGAGGATTTCAGGTTCACTTGTTTACAAGCCTCATGGTGTATCAAGGAAAATAAATATTTTTAGTAGTTTGGAACAAGCCACATTTAGGATAGACAAGGTTGGAGAAGGGGCAGTAAAGGCTTCAGTGTACAGAGTTCAGTTATGGTAAGGAACATGGTGGGTTTTAGGGCAAGAGTGAAATCCTGGAATTAATTTTGGCTTGTTTGAGTTAGGGTTTGGTTAAAGAATGTAGGTTTTGGGCCAGATTCAGGTTTAGCACCAGATATAGATTTAGTATTAGTTTTAGAACTTAGGGTTTTGTTGTAGAGTTGGGCTGGACCTGACGTTTGGAATTGTGAATTTCAGGATGAGCTGGGCATAGAGTTTAGAAAAAACCTGGGGCAGCATCAGGGGAAAAAGTGAGATTCACAGCTGAGCAGGATTTCTAGTTCTCTTTAAATTTCAGATGTTGTACGTCTACCCGAGACATTAACTCCTGAGGTGCGGAGTGTGTCATTACTGGCCTGACCGACCACCTTAATAAAATATGATTTGGAGTTTGAGAGACTTGACCATAAATAATTCTTGAAAGATCAGCTGGAGAGAGAAGGGTGTCCAGTGGCACCATTGGAAAAACCTGACAATTTCAAGTATGCCTTCACTACTAGTCTAATTGAAAACACTCCAGAAGCAAGCAAGACCTGCCTTTTTTTCTCATTTTGTCAGTTCCACAATAAGAACACAGCTGTGTCGATTGTTCTTTCCTCTTAGGATAAAGACCAGTAAAATATGGTGTCAAACTGGGATCTGTTCATTTGGATGCTGGGAGGCGCTGTCGGAGGGGTTGCAGGATAAATAGGTCTAAGTGGATAAATCTGGAGAGCTTTTCCACAGTCACAATGGAAACATTTCTACGGCATTTATCCGTCGGAACATATGAGGTGACCCCTCCAATTCTGTTTAAGTTCCTGTAGTTTTCTCTTTTGCTTTTTACTGGCACCCAACCACAATGAACCTCTGCATGATGGCCTCAGCTCAAAAGGATCGCATGCATTTTATCGACAGATTTCTCTTTTAACGACACCAACAAAAAACACAAACAAGGGATACAACTCAAAAAGCAAAGCAAAAATAAAGGCCTGAAAAAGACAAGGCGACGCGAGTCCGCAGTGCTGTTTCGACTCTTTGACATTTTTTTTTCTTGTTCACTGCTTTCCTGTCTCAAGACTACTACAGCACACATTGAGCGGGGCTTGTCTTCGAAACACTGCAGCAGCACGATCACCGACTTCAACAAGCTCTACAGTTCACAAACATTGGCTTTTACAATGCAACAGCTTCAACCTTTGCTAACAATTAGGTTTATAGTCTATTTATGAAAGAACTAAATATGTATATAGAGAGATTTACACTAAATTACTTATCATTTCTATAGAGTGGTTCTCCTGTTAAAGCACACAAGTACAGTATTGTTACTATTGTTATTACAATGTTATGAAAATGCAAGCAAACAACGAATACCGGTTACTAATAGCGCCAACCCAAAAATAACAAACTAAAAAGTTATTTTATACAAGCTTTAAAATATATATTCATTGAATGGCTAGGTTTACAACGAATTTTTTATATTACTATTATTATAATTAGTTATATTTTTCACTAGACTTTTATCTAACGTTCTCGTCAGTATCCTGAAAATTAATGAACCAGTGCCCCCATCCCTGTCTCCCATTCTGATGCAGCGTCGAAAGACTGCCTCCCCACCAGAAAAAACGAGGAGAATTAGTACAAAATCAAACGTTAAACGGTTTTTACTCGTTATTGTTGTCACGAGGCTCGTTGTAAACCTATCCTCCTGACACCAACCCTAACATTCACACCCCATTACTGTCACACAGTGCAAAAACCAAGAAACTCCCATAGACCTCTCGCGGTTTGTCATTTAAAAATCTTGTATTTAAAATAGTAATGCATCTTTTTTTTAAACATTGAACATAAAATCGGCGAATTCAAAGGCCGGAAAGGCGCTCTCCATCATAAGCGTCGTCGGTTTGCCCAGAGATTGTAAACAAACATTGTAAGAACTGGAAAATACACATCAAGGAACATTTTGAACACCGAATCATCCTTTTTTTCCCCCCATTTTCAGAGAAAAGATCCTATCACCCGCCTCGGTCTCTGGTGTGTTGATACTTTTTAGACAAATCTTTATTTCCAAGCGTTTGAAACAATCTTTTTCAAAAACTCTAAATCCTAACTGTAGTTAATGTAGACAGGAACCGGAAGTTTAAATGGTACCCTGCCCGCCAAATAGACAATGGACTGTTCCACTATTTCATTATCTTAAGGGGAGAACTACATGGAGACTAGTTGAACGCGAGTCATGATAGCATTTCTTGAAAATTTGTGATCGATTTATAATAAACTAAGTCAGTATATGGAATGTCTCGTACTTTTAACCACTGTTAATGTTATATACCACTCATTCTTAGAATATGAACAATTATACATATCCCCCTTTTTTTCAGAATGGGTTTTGTCCTTCCTTTTGTGCTGGCGGGGGTGTGTTTTCTGTGCTCTCCGATTTTCCTCACAAAATTAGTTTAATGGAGGAGTAATGGTGTCTGCCTTCAAACATAGAACTTTTGGATTAAACAATTTTACCTCCTCTACATGTTTTGCTATGAGAGCAATAAATGTGACATGAAAGCCGCAGCCCTTCAAATGACTTTTGAAAGACCTCTACAATGACGGTATTTATATTATCCAATGTGCCATACTTTTTGGCCACTAGGTGGGGCAAATGAGAAAATTGAAGACTGGATATAGACGTATTGATTTCAGAAATAAAGAGGTGAAGGGTATTTTAACATCTGGCAACTGTCTTGATTTGAATGAACTATCGTGAGTGAGAGGGTGAGGACAGGTGAGCTCAGTAATTAAGAGCAGGATTTGCTTTCAAAAAACAGACAGCTGACAGACCGGCTAGCAAGAGGAATGTCCTTTCACGGCAAATCCACTCTGTTGTTACTAGATTTTGTTGTTTTAAAATGTTATTTTTTCAGATAATCTCGTCTGGAGTTCAAATCATCATGCAGGATTATAAACCTGCCGGATTAATGAAAGCATTGCCTTTGGCTTTCCCATTCTCAGACCTTGTGCGCAAGAACAAGTGAGGGGATTTACTGAGACCTGGATTTTTGCTTTTTTTGAGTTTGCAGAATTTTCTCAGAAACTTCCTGAAGTACACTTAGTGCAAGGCTGGTCATAATAAAGACAGTTCATTGCCAGCAACTACTGCTGCACGCTGTATTGTTGTGCATTTGATAAATAAACTTTGATTTGATTTGAGAAAATGCATGCATTCCACAGTGGGGTTAAATACCAACTGTGGGCAGTGCATGTGGTCATTTGTATTTATAAGAGTACTGCACTATTTCAACTGCAGTGCAAAGGGGTGAATGTTTTAAAATAAAGATGATTCGGTGTGTCTTACATCCAAAAACCAGGAATGGCCACAGGCTCCCAAGACTGAAATAACAGTGCCCTCTGTTGGGTGTTCTCTATGTAGTACCTCTGCACATGACTCCAGAACACCTTTCTCTGGGGTCATGCTCTAAAATGTCATAATGGCACACAGCCATACAGCGGAGAGCTATGTGGATGGATTTTCGACTATGGGTGTGACTTCAGCACGTGATGTAAAATGTCTTTACCTAACATTTTGTAAAGTGCAAGTCTGTGTGGCATCAAGCCTCTCTCTAAACGCATTGATTTATGTAACTGTATGAGAGGCCTACACAGACCAGCTGCACTATGTATTGTATGCCCCAAAGAAAACTACTGTTGGATCTCTACTTGCGACTCTAAGAAGAACACCCAACAAGTCTCTCTCAGTGTGCAAACAACACATACCCCCTCCCCCCCACCCCTCCATTAATATTCAAGTTCATTGCTTACAGTTCAAACAGTGTTTTGCATTATGCAATAAGACCAATGAAAAGAGGAAAGCAGAAGAAGAGGAAAAAAAGCAAATGTTCTGAGCTCAGATTGTTTCGCTGGATCAGTGCATTATTCAGTCCGCTGCCACACGGTTATCTTCACTGCGCCTGCTCTTAAATTTCGAGAACAAATTTTTGTTTTTCTCCTCAAACGTTCAGAGATATGCCAGCTGCTACGTGGAAGCCAGAAAAAAAGATTTTGCAGTCTGGCTTTTGCGTTACTGCATGGGCCTACAGATTGAGATTACTTATAAATATGCTGTGCACACGTGTGTGGTTCTGTGATTGGTCAGCATGTGGCTGGCGACAGTGACAGAGGGAAGAGAAGGCTAGCGTACCCTCTGCAATACTGAGATGGTTTAGGAATGTGTAGAACTTGGGTGCACACCTCTTGCATACTCCAATTCAAAGTCTCGCCATCTATCCCTAATGAAATGAAATGAGATTTCCCTCTGCGTTGCAGACAGTATAGTGACAGCTCAGATCCTTGCCACCCTTCATACTGAAGAGGACAGTGGTCCACCTTGCTGTTTTTTGTACTCTTCTTTCTTTTCTTCTATTCATTTTCACAGATGTGAACCAGTTAGAAAAATATATATTATATAAAAACATTTGTATTGATCAGAGAACATGGCGGCAAAAATAATAGAATGACAGGGAAGGAGAACAAAAAAAAAGATTTAAATCTAAAATGTGACATTGTGTTATTAAACAATTATTTTTCTTTTCTGCTGGGGAAAGAAAAATCCCCAGACACTGGGATTTCAATTTCTGTACTAGTTTTTAAACAATTAGAGGGTACGTATTTTGCTTTCCGAAATTCTAGAAAAATAAGACTCTTTTCATTTGTTGTTCAACAGTAAGTTGCAATTCATTAGCTAAATCACCCTTCGATATGAGACAATAATTTGAAGCAAGAAAGATCTATGTTCTGTTGCTGGAATTGTCATATCTGTCCTAGTCTGGGGTTTTTGTTGTAAATGCTGACTGTAAAGTGGTAAACCAGAATGAAAGGAATATACTCCTTTTTCCATTTTTGGTTCACATACTTTTGTGAGGTGCTTTCCTAAGCCAGCTGTTGGGGCTGATTATGTAGGAGGAACATTGGAAAATAAGGAGCCGTTACCAATAGATCCTCTTTCCTGTGTCCCCCAGGTGCTGTCCTCCTGAATGAATTGGTAATTGAATTGAGGCAGACTTACACTGCCTCTCAGGTAACAGGTCTCCCTGTGCTGACCCTTTGCCTTTGTTTCCATTACTAGGAGCGAAAGTGGAAAACTCACTCCCCTCTTACCCCCGACAGAGAATCTCAGTTTACATGTACAACCTATTCAGAATCTCCCCAGTTAAATCCATACCATTGCTCCAATCATAAATTGCACTACAGCTGTTTGTCAGGATGACATTCCAGCCTTTTATATTTGCTCCCCTTTTATGTCTGCATAATATCCAGTTAAAAATCCTAAACCTCGGTCTGAGTAAAAATAAAGGTAATGTGTTCACACCCTATTTTTTCTTCTTTTTTAAGCATGGAATAAACCTTTACTTGTTACTTTGCAGTCTACTCATGCTTATGCAGCTACAAACTTGGACCATAAAGAAAATATGATTTATTTTTCTTTTGCTTCTCTAATGCTCTTGCCACATGATTCTTCTCAAATGTATTTAAAAACTGGCTGTCAGAAAAATGCACCTTGGACCAAATAATCATGGAAGAACCTTGCTTCCTTTTCTCTGGTTATGTAGCTGCCTATTTGGTCTTTTTTCAAGATTTGGATAAAAGTTACAGCTTCCTTTTCAGTCATTTGTCTCTAGTTGCACAGTGACTATTTCACTTTATTGTTCTTGAAGAGTGGTCATATTGATAGGCTGTTCACACCAATTGGAGGAGCTTAACTGCTCTCAGTGATGTCACTGCAAGCCTGCAGGTGCATAGCAGGCCACAGGAGGTGCTGTTGAGCTGCCTTTTAAAATAACCTTGACTATGGCATGTCTAATAACCCAGCCTTTGTGGCACTGACCATGTGACTATGATCATTTTCCACTGTATTTCTTCCCTGCTGTTAGTTGGGTGATTGTCCTTGTAAAATGATGTGTAGATCTCAGCTTCGTCACTGACTTCAATTCACAATTGCACAGGTATGTAACAGCTGTGAGCAAAAGTAACAGAAATAGAGTATGTATCACTCAGGAGGCAACCGTGACATAATAAACCTATCTGGTTAGTTCTAGTCAGAACAGGGAAGGAAGTAAATATTTCCTTTCACCAACAGCTTTTACATTAACTTTTCCAATTGCTTGTATTCAAAATACAGCAGTTCCCAACAGGGAAAGCTACAATGCCACGGTTTAAATCCCAGGCTGTGACCAATGGCAAATGTCCAATTTAACATTTTCTGATCTCTCCCTGCTCACCACCTGCTCCTCCACCTCACATCTCTAATCAGAAGAAATGAAAAAAGATCCATCCTTCTTCTAAACGGTGGGTGGGTTGCAGATAGCCTGATTTCAGGGAAAGCAAGCCTGTGGTAACGGAAACAATTCGACTGGAAACAGACTCCCTTTATAGTAGTCAGTTTTCCATTTTTTTGTTTGAATAGATTGAATAGGTTGCTTGAAAGCAGCTCTATCAGAAATGGGCGATTGGACTGAGATTTGAAAGATGTTGTATGGAGAAAATATAGATGAGAGGGGGGGTTGAAATGATCAGGAATTATTTTGCCAGAGAAAATCAGAAACAAACCAAGTTACTAAAACAGAAAGAAATTCTATATATAATGTAGAACAGAACCCAACAAAAAAAAAGGGGAATGAGAATTTTTAGGATTTCAGTGTTAACAGTTCTGACAATCCCAGCATGTGAATGCCATGGGGGAGTTAAATTCAGTAGGCAGGTCTACTGTACCTGCAAAGTCGCAGCCATGCGGCTCTGCAGAATAGGAGATACATAACTGTAATTGTGAAGGTCACCAAGTGAAGGTCACCAAGTAATTCATTTTGTTGTTCCTTCCCAAAATATCCAGAACTCATTCCACCTTTACCTATGCCAAAACAGTGCAGTATGACCTCTTTGCAGTTTCCTGTTTCTAGCTGTGACTCCCTACAGACTCTATCCCCAGCTGCACCTCTGGCAAAAGTGGGAAAAGGCTTCACTTGTCTAACAATCCTCCCACAGTTTTATAAAGTGCTGCAGAGATACTCAAATACTCTGGTGAATAAAAGGGCACGGTAAGTTCACACAGGGACCCATTATTTCATGTCAAACTAGTCTACCTAGCCTTTACTGCCCTTTAATATGATATTACCATGTTTCCATTGTACTTGACCGCACTAGACCAAGCAAATACCACACTTTTCCATGTTAAACATCCAATAATTAACTATACCAGCATTACAAGCTACTACTAGGAAACTAGGACTACATTATTACTACATCATAGTGCAGTCAAACATGGGAAGTAATGGTAAAACCTTTGAAGACCAGTGACAGCCAGGTAAATAGTGTACATCACAGAGGAAATGTATGGTAAATGCAGAAAATCACCTTTCAAGTCTTACAGCGGCACAACCAGAAGGCATGACGCCATTAGATTGCTTCAACATTCGGTCATATGGTTTCATAGTGCCCTCAAAATGCAATTAAATAGAAAAATAAAAACACAAAAGGAGATTATTGATAGCAGTCCCAGCACATGTATATGAAGGATATCCATGTACACACACTGCACATATGAAAAATGTTTAAAAATATAGGTTTGTAGTTTCCTGGTGTGCTGAAGGGTTTCTGTTAGTGCCCTCAGTGCAGTGTGTGTTACTGGGGTCGTAGTCTAAAACGATCAGAGCGTCTCTAGCAAAGGTCAGCAAAGACAGAGGGAATGGGAGAGAAGGAGCTTTTTTGATGAAAACACTGCTTGTAAGCCCTGTCTTATTCTTTAGTTTTGAGATACACAAAATTCAAACTTTGAATAGAAAGAAGTTGCCTTGGAAAACCTAAAAGCTAAATAATGAATGAAGACCTTTCTGAACAGGGCTAATATATGCCTGTGCAGGACGTCACAGGCAGTGTGAGGACATCTCTGCCTTTCTCTCTGTCAGTTTGCCTGTCTTATCTAAATGCCCTTCAGTTTATTCCTATTTAGTAGGGCTGTGCAATCTGGGTATCAATTAATCTATTGTATGAATATCTCACAGCATTTACAGTGCTCATCCAGATTTTGATATATACTAAGAGGCATTAAAGTGCAACAAAGTATTGGTTCCAATACTCATTTGTTGAGTTGTGACATTTGGCACTGGGTTTGGTGTTGGTCAGGATGAGATGGTGGCTTTGATCATAATGCCCTTCCATTCTCCCAGAGCTTGTAGCAAGCCCAGAAGAGCAGATCAAAGATCAGAAATAGGACAGGGAAACTGCTGTGTAGTACCTCTTCCAAAATATTCAGGGTGAGGGTTACGGATTCCAGCACTGTTGATTTAAAAGTCTAAAATATGAACTTGTCCATTGGAGAGTAAAGATGCAGTTCCACTGCCCACCTTTGGGGGGCAGCAGCTGTTGGCCACATTTGCATGGGATCACAAAGGCCTAGGGTGGGAGAGGCCCAGCCCAGCATAGTATAATATCCCATAACAGAAAATACGGGGGGGTGCTGGATATCTAGCAATTATAATTTAAACACAATGCAAATGACCTCTTTTGTTATGTTGTCACTTCCAATTTACCTTCTGAAATGCAAACCATGCAGCTCAGGATGCCAAACTCACTGTGACCAACTTGTGGCCTCAAATCCTATATCAGATTTCTGGGACACATCCACAAACACTGGGCTGTGATGTAGAAACCAGCTAAGGCTGTGCCAGGGGACTTGTGTCCGAATCCCAGGTTGCACTGCTGCAATACAGGAGCTGATCGGCAGGGCAGTGCAGCGGTGAAATGCAGGGCACAGTCTGGGATCCTTGAAGACCACCCACTGAAGAGCACAACCAACTAAACAATTCACCCATTGTATCTGGATCCTTGTCAGCAGTTTAGCAACCCAATGCAAGTGTTAACCCACAGTGCAGAGCCCCATGACCTGTTACTTTTATGCCCTAGAGGAAACTCATCTACAGCAGTTACTGCCACAGAGCAAAAGCCCAGGTAAGCTTCTGCATCAAAGCCCTTGTCTGTGTGTCATCTGATAAAACTTGTCTTCACTCACATTAATTGCTTGCTTTGGAGTGATGGATTTTGCGTTCCTCTCTGTTGGTAAAATGTCAGACAGCAGGGGGTTCAGATCTTGTTGTTCTTCAGAGATCCCTTTGTGGTTTCAGCAACTTGCTCAAGATGCCAGTAAGAGACTAGGCTGTAACTGGAGCGCACTTGCAACTTTGACAATAGGTTGACCGAAATGAAATTTCCCCTCTCCCTTGAGGTCCTGGATTGGAAGGGGGATGGGGTGGATTGGGTTTGGGATTTCAAATGGGTGGGGTTTTGCAGAAGGGTTAAAGTGCATTCTCAGAGTAGTAGTCTTCTTCCTAGCCATCAGCAGCAGCAGGACTAGGTCACTCTGTCCAGAATATGGAATGAAACCATGCTCTCCAAGCTCTTCTCTGGATCAAGCTCTTAGCTGATCTGAAATGGTTGTCCGTGTGTCTGGATCATTAGTGACGATAAACCAAGTGGACATATTTCCTCAGATGAGTGCATAACTTTAAGAACTTCTCTTGTGAGGTGGAGAAAAACACCAATTTAATATGTACAGTAAGGTTTTTTCAAAAGCGTTGGTTGCCAGTTTACTGTAGTAAGTCAGTCTTTGTGTTAAGTAATTCTTTGTGTTACTGGATATTATGAACAGATGGTGTAGAATCTGAAATCTTGTGATTCACTCTTTCAGTCATTGGAAATGTGCTGTGAATTGTCTTAAAGTCAAACATTGCCAAAGGAGATTATAGATTTGGACATTTTACAAGTTTCTTCTCTTCCAGTAATTTCCAAAATATATGCATAAATTTATATTGTTTTCCCAGTTTTTAGATGTCACCAGTCTTTGCAAATACAGAAAAGGGAGAAACTTTGAGATTGCAGTTCTCGATATCCTTCCTTTGACTTTCACTGGGGGAGAGGTGTAGGCAAAAACTTCGTTCATATCCATTCAATCTTGACAAAAACACATGTGTCAAATTAAAAAAAAAAGCTACATATTAGTCCTTTTGAAACAAAAAAATCCCAAAGTAAATGCTGAGTTTTCCTTTTCCTGTTCACACTGGCTGTGGTTGTCTCTCCCTTTCTTCCCGTTCACAGTGCGAACAGAGTTTTTTTCTGTAGGCGCATTGACTGAGGGAGTGGATGTGTTTTTATGTGTTAATATGGAGGCTGACGAATTTTTCAAATCGAGGGAGAGGAATTTGCTCGTTGCGGTATGGTTCACCATTAAGGAATCCCCCCTCCTGCTCCGTCACTTTCCTCCAGGTTCAACGTTTTAAATGTTCCCTTCCTGTCAGGAAACCAAGCTTCCCTAAAGTGCGGACCTCCACTGATACCTTTTTCAAAGTAACACCTGTCCAAAGCGTGAGACAATCTAGCTGTTTGGTTAAGTAATACTGGTAGGAGAGTGCTCACTGTTAGGAAATTAAAACATCGGATTCTTCCTTTGCTTTTTGAAGATTTAAAAAAAAACTAATCTGGCTTAGAAGTATGCCAATCACGAGTACTAAACTAAGGTTAGAAGAATATCATAGCATCTTGTCTTCCATCTCTATATGAGAATTGACCTCATGAGTATCAAAATTAAAAAAGTATTAATTTTTCCTCATTATTTGCATTACCATCACGCGGTGACGAAATTTAGCTTTGTACACACACACACGAAAAAAGGCAAATTTGCACAAAATCATGTACTGGGATGTACATTGACTTTTCTGTACAGTATTGCATGTCCGCAATGCCTTTCACTGCTCGTATGTTTGTCTTCTTCCTGTGTAACACGCATCCCTATGGGTGCTCTGACGTGATGTCTATTCGTTTCCCTGCCATGCATCAGAAACTCTGACCTCATCTGTGGTCCCTGTGTCCTGCTGCTGTTCCGCTGTCTCCTGATCATTTATTTATTCTTTCTGCTGGAAATGAGACTTGCCTATTTGCCTGTCAGAACTTGATATGTGCCGAGCAGGCTTGATAGGGGTGTTTGAAAAGTATCTCGCAAGGTGAGTTTTTTTTTAACAGCAGCAAAATGGTCTTCTGTGCATTGAAATTAACATATTTTCAATGTACAAGTCAGAACAGTAGTGTACCAATTTCTGATGCCATGCCAGTCTGCCAGATGGTCAACATGTGACAGCGTCCTGTTATTTCTGGCAGCGAGTCTCCCTGTCTAGTTTTATGGGCCTATACACCCCAGAAACAGTTTTTAAACAGGGACTATTTCAGGGTTTAGATTGTTGTCATCCTGACTGCAAATATCCGTTACTATGTCATCTTTTTAATACCTATTAACGAATGGTTTAGAATTTAGCTTGCGGCTGTTGGTTTAAAATGCTGTTTGCTGATCCCCCCCAGGAAAAGCAAACTGAATCTCTTCACATTGGAATGCCACATAAATAAGTTTTAAAAAATTGAAATATTGGGGACAATAGCAAGTACTATTTAATTCTAAATAATAAATAAATTACGAGAAGATAATATATCTACAATATTCCAGCGTAGGGCACCGCCATTTTCTTTCCACATCTAAAAAATGCCACTTATATATTCCATATATAAATATAATTCTTCTTTAGAGCATGGTTCACTCATATATAAATAAGACAAACTCTGTAGTGCTACATGAAAGGGGTTTTCATAAAAGTAAATGAATTTGTTTCAAATTTTGAGTCTCTAATTAGGAATTGAATGCAAAACTGTAAATCACAGTAAAATAAATGTCTGTGTGAGTGCCAGGATAAGATTTTAGCATCTAAATCAGGCTAAATTGCACTCACATGACATCATACATAAAACCTGAATACTTAAAAGTTTTTGTACTGAAGGGAACAAGCTACTGTTCCAGTATTTTACTCTAGTATTATCCTTCCTGGGTGAAATAGCAGCTAACCACAGCAAACAATTTCAAATAAAATTAAGAGACTAGGAATTAGTCAAATTTCTCATGCCAATATAACTGTCTTTGTGACCCTCTGTGAGACCGACACCACAAAGCCCCCGCGTAGTCGATTGCTTTGCTCGATGGAGAACGAGAGGAAATGGGGTTGATGCATTAATTATTACTGTTAATACTGTACTGTACAACCTCAGAACGATTCTTGGAATGAAGAGTTAACGTCATTTTTTATCTGGGCAGACACAAATACCTTATCATCTCCTGGCAAACCTTTCAGGGATTTTGGACATGTGCTCTGCAGAAAAACAGTTTCCGTTTGCTTGAAAACATTGCTGGGTTTTATGTGACACACAATGGGCTGTAACCATTGGTGCCTGTTCTCTTAAGTGTATTTTTTCTATGTTGGGCAAAACCTCCTTCACTCCAGGTCCAGATCACAGGCTAGTGCTACCACCACCACCACGATATGGCTTCCAGAATGACCATGCTGGGGCTCTGCAGATGATAACTTCTTCGGAAGAAACAGAAAAGTGTTTGCTGCCAGTCTGAAATACCATGGGTCTGGTGCCCAGGTCCCTTGTTTTTCAAGGGTTTAAACACTGAATCGGATAAATACGTAATAAATATGCGTACATGTGCAGATCCATCATAAGATATTAGCAATGCAATATACGTTCAGCATGGGTTTTGTGCTCAAATTTGTTAGTATCTCAGCACACTGGAAGTTTAGCTTGTGGGAACAATTTTCTTCTTTCATTTTTGATTACGTTTTTTCCTTTACCATTGTTATCCAGTGTTCCTTTGCTTGTTTTTTTTCCCTGACCCCCCTTTCATTTTTAATCTCCTGAGGTGGAGAACAGGGGCGGAAGGTGAGCTTGGAATATCTGTGATGATTGTTTCATCTTCGCTGCTGTTATTAATTGCTGTTGCTTTTTTTGTTTGTTTGCAGTGTTTCTTTTGCATTCTGCTTTTCGTTTCTTCACAGAGTGGGAATCGTGCTGTACTGTTTTTCCTCCTCTTTCTGTGTTTTCCGGGGTGGTGGGGGGAAGGTTGGGGGGTTAGGGGCACTGAATGGGCATCTCAGGCGAGGTCGGACTCCACCACACACTGCTCGGTGTACCCCTTCACCAGCTCCACTCTCAGCGTGTTGCGGCAGAAGTCGGCCAGGGGCTGCCACAGCGGCGGGTCGAGGAAGAGCTGGCACATGACATGGCCCTGGAGGCTCTCCGTGTGGCGCCGCAGGTGGGCAAGGAACTGGCGCCGCACGGGCTCCAGGTCCTTCCCAAAAACGTCGATGTTGAGGTAGTACCAGTCCTCGCCGATGGGCACGCGGAAGGGGAAGGTACACAGGCTGGCAACGCTGGGCGACTCCGCGTCGTCCACCATCCAGTCGATGTCCTTCTTCAGCAGGATGGTCATGTTGCTGGCCAGGGGCTTGAAGGGCTGCCAGTCCTGGACGATGGTGGCATTGGGCAAGACATCCCGCGCCAGCCCGGCGCTCAGGAAGAGGTGCCGGGCCGCCAGGGGGTCCAGGCGCACGGGGGCCGCCGGCTGGGGGGTGTCGGGGGTGGCTTCGGGGGTCAGCGCCTCCAGCCCCAGCTCCTGCAGACACAGCTTGAGGTCCTCAGCTCGGAAGCGGACGAGGAGGATCCCCTAGTGAGAGGACAGAGAGAATAAAGGTATTGTCCAGGAAGAAGAAACTCATTGAGCCTGCATGGCTACATGGTTACCGTGACGTGCTCACAGTACCCTAGAGAAACACTGCAATTGCACCCATGACTTCCAGTTTTTCACGTCCTAAAAGTCTGATAAAATGCAATAAGGGTGTAGACCATCAAAGGTATGATGAAGTTACCTTCCACGCTTTGCTGTCTGAATTGTTTTACTCATGAAAGTGGGCCTCTTAAATTGCCCGGCCTTGGCATTCCTTGCCAAGGCTCACAATGAATCACCCTACAGCAACACTGATGTTTAATGGCAACGCTTGTAGAAAGAAGTAAATTGATCTTTCCATTGCCGGTGTTGGTCTTATTGTGTCAGCGCAAGCATTACTCTCATTGCGTCTCATTGTGTATCGATAGTGGGATTAGTGTTAGTATGTCAGTGTCAGTATTAGTCTTATTGTTGGAGTTCTAGTTTGTCAGTTTTAGTCTGGTTGTGTTAGTGGATTAGTCTGTTACAATGGACCAGTACGTGACTGTGCGTCTATACCTGCTTGGTGATGAGTCGGTACTTCTGAAAGTCTTTGGGTCCCAGCCTGTCGTCCCGGGTGAGGCGGGTGACCTTCACTTCAGGGTATTTGGCCTTCATCAGCTGTGAGCAGAACTTGAGCAGCACCCCGGCCACACCTTTGCCCCGCTCTGAGGGGGCAACACGCAGCCCCTCCACCAGCACGGTCTCCCCATCATCAATCACGCAGACTGACTCCAGGGCAATCTGGCAGGAGAGAGAGAGTGAGGAGGTGTGGTACAGACACACAGGGGGCGCCATGGTACCACTGGAACCGGCCAAGAAAAGAGGTCAAAAGTGGATTCTGCTCCATCGCTAGTCACACATATTGACTCCCTGGCACTTTGCAGAGAGCAGGAGGGGTCGATATTAAGTTTGAGAGGGAATCATTACAGTCCATCGATTATCTGACACGTGCCGTTTCTATGACATACTGTATATCTGGTGAGAGAGGAAAATGATGCCATAATCAATAGGGTTTAAAACAGTAGCATTGGACACGCCAGTGTACTGTAACTACACTTAACCTTGGCACTCTGGGCACAGCACTGTGTTAATACTGGATTGAGTTTCAAGCACGAGGAGGGAATGAAGTGACGCCAATACAGTCTGCATGCCAAGGAGGACAGACAATGGCGCACTGTTCTGGCCTCCTCCAGTTTATTCTAGGTCCCCAAGTACCACTGTGTCTGGGCAGCAAGCTGTGGTGCTGGGACCTGTCACTGAAGGCCCACGGCGTGTTGTCTTTGTGGGGGTGAATTTGCAGTGCTTGATGTGAGTGAATTCCAGCCTGTTCAGTGTGACAATGCCCTGGCATTTTGATACGTGCGCAGCAGAAAGGCCTGCTTTCCGTATGAGTTTGTGGTCAACATCACCGTGTTCACCCCGGCCTGTCTCAGAGTCATATACAAAGGTAGTGCTTGCTTTGCAGCCCAAGATTTTGGAATAGTTTGGAACTGACTGACTAGTGCTGTAAAAGCCCACCTGCATGCCTGCTGGCTCAATATGTAGGCACATTTGTAACTGTATTCACTCTAAATTTGGCAGCCAAAATAATAATCAAGAGTCTTTGCTTCTTTATCCACCTACTTGAAAACAATTAGGGCAACTATTTGCAAATATTTATTTCTTACAGTGAAGGTAGTATGTCTATCATTTCCCTATGGACTGTTCCTAGTTGTTATCTACTTGTATAAAGGAGAGCTGAGTTCGTTTTTGTGTGTGTTACAGTAGTCATCTAACCCAGTTTAAGGGGCTGAGCTTAAGACATTCAAACGTGACCTATTTTTCATGCTCAACAGTAGCACGGTGTACAGATGTGTGATTCTCAACGGAGGCATTTTAAGGATAATTCAAGGGTGCTCCTGCAAATGTCCACTGTGGTCTCCCATGGCAAAAACACACTAAAGTGTGTAAGGAGTCTTTCGCACCAATCTTCGGGCAGGTTTGGCAAGGCAAAAACCTGGGAAAAGCACTGTGCAAGTCCACCATGCAGAAATACCATGTGGATTTATTGAAGTAACCAGATCTGAGAGGGTGCCCGGGTACTGTCCTTTAATCTTGGGTGAGAAGTGCAGCAAGCAACGCCAATGTCCTAGCAAGAGGAGCCCGGTAGGCACTCATACCACTTTGCCTTGCTTCCGTGCCAAGATGACGGTGCGGTTGGACTCCTGCAACCAGGCCTTGTAGCGTGTTGGCAGGTAGTCCAGCCCTCCGTAGATGTCTTGGCTCATGGCCATGATCTCTTCAAAATCCTCCTCCGTTGCCACCGCGAACTCCAGCTCAGTCTGGGGGTCGACTTCTGGGGCAGGGGAACGTGACAGGCCAGTCTCAATCTTCATCCTGGAGCTGAGAGGTTCGAAGGGACAGCATGGTTAAACAGAGCTGTGCAAGTAGTCAAGCTCTACTCATCTATATAGCCTGAGCTGAGGGGAGAGAAAGGAGAGAGGAAGATGCAGACAAGATGGGTCACGTACTGCACACTCTAGGGAGCCAGAAGAGCTAGAGGGAGACAGGTAACAGAGATGGATCTGAGACGGGCAAACTAGCGCTTGCATGGTTACGTGGTGACATGGTTGCTGGCCATATGCTCAAAATTCTGGACATGCACAACTCATAGGCACTCTCAGACAGTTCCAGGCTGTCTGTACTGGGAAGGTGGGCATGGGACCAGAGCAGGGTTTGATCTCCTCTTGATTCCTGGCTGGTTCAGAGCCCTGCTTTGCAATGCGTGACTGGACAATGTGGATCAGCCTGGCACAACGGGGCGCCTGGCAAACCCCCAATTCCAATGGCTGGCCTCAGAAATTCTACCCAGGGGCAGCTCCCACAGACAAGCAGCCCTTTTCTGGGTGAGAAACTGAGAGTGGATGGTGAGGGAGGGGGGGGGGTCAGTTTGGATGCCCACAGTCAGGAGATGTTTCATCTCTTTTTCTGCAAAAACATTGTATCAACCAGACTCACAGGCAGAGGTGCTGGAAGAGGGAGAGGGCTGTACGTGGTGTCTTAAATACGTTCTTTCACTTGAAATCCCAACTCGCTCCTGGTAGGAGGACTCTATGTTGCAATAGAAGCAATATTATTATCAAAATTGAATAGTTTAAAATGCTTATTAGACGTCATCTCTGAAAACATCAATTACAGAAAGCATTATTTCATAAGACAGGAAAGAAAATGGTTGTTGATTCTTGCATCTCTATAAGTTTGTAAGTCGGCAAGAAATTCACAGTGGAACAAAAGTTACTACAGATAGAAAACCACAGATAATTATACACACATACTCTGGCACTGTCCATTTGGAAAGATCAATATCTATTAATCAGTGGGATTCTAGAATCGACAATCTGTCTTTTCGGATGTCTGAGCACCATCAGTCACACGTCCAGAGCCTGGATTATATACAGAAGTATTTACAGACAAGCATGGCAGAAACAGAGAATCAAAAACCTAACTCTGTGGTAGACATATTTAGCTCCTCAACTCCATTGCAAGGCTTTGTTCCAGATAGTCCTTAATAATCAAAGTAATCATTAGTACCTAGGCAAATTGAGAGATTGAGGCTCTGTTCAGATGTTAATATATTGTAAGAATCGAAGCCCTGTTTTGGCATGGAATGGAAGGTGCCAAAGTTATCTAGGCCCAGCCTAGAGCATCACTGTTTGCAGGCAATCTACACACCATAGATATGCTGGAACAACAGGTAATCCACCACAGTAGGGAGTGACTTTGGAAACGTTCAAAACTACAGTACCTTCTGGTTCTGGACAAGCTATCTGGTCAAAGAGGAAACAGGACCCAAGTGTGTATTTTAGTTTCTTGATGATGAAGTTGGACACATAATTATACTTTGTTTTGTGTCCTCAAATTCTGAAGTGGGGATATTCATTAATTGTCGGTAAAATGTAAAAAACGTTTAGTTTGCTGAAGCTCACATAGGCGTAAAACTTGAGAGATGATGGTTCTCTGCTTCACAGCTACTGTACAATATATGACCTTGTCTTATATCTGCTGCTGAAGTTTTCATGTGGCATATCTTATCTCCTGGCAGCTAGTGTAACACTCATCCCATCTCTTCTTTTCTTGATATGTTTCTCTGAAACTCCTTTAGGGCTCTTAAAACCCACGTGTTGCTTGCACTGATACAGAGACACACACACAAGTATGAGACGGCCACACTCCTATATTCAGTCAGACATGACTCTGACACAATCCTGGGTGTGCTGAAAGCCCCAACCTTGAATGCAATGTATTTTAAGGACAGATGGAGGGTTTAATCCAGGATGCACACAAACACAACCAAATTTAAGGTTAATCCTCCAGATGGAGTCATTGGTTGTGATGATGAAGATTGTTGTGGCTGTTGTTGTTAGTTTCATTGTGATTATTAGATCTATCCCTAGATGAGAAACTGTAGCTATACTGCATGCATTTCGGAGAAAAAGAGGTGAGAGGCAAATATCATTATATAATCAAGGATTGCATTATGACAGATGTGCAATTGCCTCTCGTCTCTGAAGAACAGACTTAAAAAGCTTTTGAATGGTTTACACTTAAAACAAACGAAAACCAGTGACTGTTGCAGAGCAAGAAAAACACAGCAGGTCTCATCTTCTGGTGTGGTGATGGTCAGTATCACTTGTTTTCCTGAAACTGCGCAGTCTATGTTCACCGTAGTGTGGTCATACTGGCAGGGTTGTGCATATGGCTCCGATAGTTTACCAAGGTACAATCTCATAGTCTAGATGGTGAAATTGAAAATATTACAGAAAAGGTATGCAACACCCACCATGGTTTATTTTAGTATACTAGGGGGAAAACTCTAGTACGGGTGTCTTGAGCTCCCGGATAAGCTATTTTCTTCTGTTTTCTTTTGGTCCGACCTCCATACTAAATTAAATAACCCACTTACTTTGTTAGATATATAGCATTTTTCTTGAGGTCTTTCACAGTTTTTTGTTAACCGAGTGTGATTGTACGAGCATGTGTGGTTACACAGGCACATCTCTTTGTTCGTTTCTCTCTTGGCTCACCAGGGGCTCTGGAATAAAACCCTAGCGTTTGCCTCTTGTGGTTTAAGTGACACCTTGACGGTCTGGAAGGTGCTCAAAAGAAGGTTGGGATACCTGTATGTCCCCGTCAGTTTTACCCTACATCATCCTGCCTCACTTGCCTCACCTGCCTCCCTGCTCCTGGGTTCCTCAGTGCAGTGGAACAGGAGTGTCCTCCCATTTCCTAGCATTCATTGGCCCTAATCCTGTCACAGGTTACAAGAGGGTGTGTGTAGCGGTCAGCGGATGTGTTCCTGACACTAGACTACTGCAGCCTCTCTCTCTCTCCCTTATCAGCACCTTTCTCCCACCCTCCCTCACCCCGCTCTCTTTCCCTCTCCTTGCTGTCAGCACGCGGTGAAGGGTTTCCTCCAGCCAGGAGAAGGGGCTGTGTTTACTTTAGATGTGCTGCGGCACAGGCTCCATCTGCCACTTGTTTTTAGAGGTGAACAAGGATGATATTGTCCTGGTTAATAAATGTTCCCATCCTTTCACAGGAACTGTGTCTCACAGAGCCCCCCTCTTTCCCTCCCTCTCAGCCATGTGTTTATATAACTCCTTTGCTGGTGAAATCCCATGATGGCAGTCTGAGCTTTTTAAGCTGAGCTTTTTTTATCCTAATTTATTCAGTTCATTTATGCCTTTCTTAGCCTTTCTTCAAAGCTTTAATGTGTCTTTTTCCCAGTTGAGCACACTCCTTTAACCACACTGTGGTTGGGTGGAAAGGAGGGTTTTTTTCCCTATAGTTTATGAAACGAAAGATGCATCTGAGCCCACGGAAAGGATCAGCTTCTGTTCACCCTCCCAGGCTGAATCTCAGCCTCCCGATTAAAGGACACGAGCACAAAACTGAAGCCAAAGGTAGCTTAGCTTGATGTTCAGGTTGCGTGCATTCGTTGTTCATCATCTGTTTCAAATCAGCTGCATGGACTGTACACTGCCAATGTGACAGATGAGCATCATCAACACTGCCTCCTCAGCCCCCTTTGGTGGATCTCAGGTGATGCGGGCTGCAAGTTGGGCGCAGTGCATAGAGATAACGTAGAATCCCCGTGGATGCATTTTCTAGGCATCGCTTCAACATGCTCCACCAGTGTTGAGCAAAATCATCACCCTATTAGAAAACGAGTTTAAAAGTTCCAAATGTCTTTGGGAATTCACCATAAAGTTTGTTGTGTAAATGCAGATTCCTCTAGAAGTAAAGATTGTGGCCGTAGGTCTGTGAATTTACAGATATGTATTTTAACATACAGTCATGCATAGTCATGCGCATCACAGTAAGAATGTGGAACCAGGGATCTTTTCAAATCATAAAATATTTAACCCCCAGTCTCTCATATTTACTTAAATATTTAAGTCCCTGGTTTCACGTTCTTACTGTGACATAACAAAAGCGCATTGGTGATATAATCACGTATTTACTAAATTCATAGTTTCCCATTTAAAGTGGATCCAAGCTTTGATCCCCGAGTCTGCATTGCCCACTAAAAAGTGAAGAACATGAAAGCTACATACCTTCAGTACTTCAGCACTGCACATATTTAATTGATTTAATTAGTTATTTAATTTGAAGTAAGTGCATTATCCATACAATGAAAAACGTATATCATTTACTAGTTTTTTCATTATGTAAAACTGCCACCCCCTGATCTAAGGGAAACCCATTCTCACTGCTGTAAATATTCCATTATTGCATTACTTCAGCCCATTATTGCTGTTACTTCTGTTACAGGCCACACCTCCATTCATACTGCATACAGTAACTTTCCTCTGCCCGACAATAGTAGCAGCCAACATAAACATGGTATTGAAGAACTTCACCAAACTGATAGAGCTGTATGACTGGAACTAGATTTGTTTTTATTTAAGGTTAGCCTAGCAACATAAGGAAGCTGAGAACAGAGCTGGTTGATTAAAGTGATTTTGCATCACTGTATTATACCCTATCGATTTCTTTCATTACGTAACATTTCAAAGATTCTCACTGAAGCTTCCCTCTTCCTGGTTTTCTAGTTTTCAGCTCTTTCTTTCTTATATGCTCTTTTCCTTCTCTCTATCTTTTGTCTTCCTTTCTTTGGGCCTCTCCAGCTGCTCCTTCCTCCTCTCCTTTGTCTTTCTCCATTTGTTGTCAGTCCTATCCCCTCCTCCTTCTGTTTCTTCTGCTATTAAAATGCCTGCCCTTCATCAGCAGCCTGTTTTCTCTTTCTCACAGAGTACCTGGGATGCCTGACCCAGTTTCATTGGAGACTTCTGCTGGTACACACACGCTCGTGCATAGGCACATGCCTGCAAACACACACACAGACACAAGGAAACACACAAGTTCACACTCATCATTATGTGTGAACATCGAGGCACTTTCTTGTTCTTAAAACTTCACGATCATACTCATCGTCTGTCAGATACATTTCTCCTCTCTTCTCTTTTCAATCCCTCACTGCTCCCTCCCTTTCCTCCCCTCCCTCTCTCTTGTTATGTTATGTAAGACAGTCATTAAAAAATGGATTACAGACATTAACCCTGACAGATTCATAGCTCAATGAAGAGTTTGTCTGTGGGGCTGGAGGGGAGAGCTCTCAATTCTGTTTGCCATACAAACACACATGCACACACACCCACCCAACGTAGGTGATTTCTTATCAACGTCTGCCCCTTCCCTAAGCAATACCAGAGCAGTGGTTGCTGGTCCCAGTTAAAGCCCATCCTTGGTGTGGCTGGTGCTGGCTGGCAGTGGGAGGTTTTGCCCCTCTCATGGTTTGGACACACAGGTTGAGCAGTAGTCATGTTGCTTTTGTGCTCTGCCTGGGTTTCTTCTTTACTCCCTTCCTTGTTAATTTTGAGATTTAGGTCTCAGTAGGAATGACAACACCCAAGATGAAAGCGTCATGAAAGGATTATGGAGCAAAATTCTGGCTTAACCCGCTCGCCTGAGGGCCCACCTCCCAGCCAGAGGACAAGGAGGCCAGGACCCCCTTGCGGGGTGACAAGGGGTAGCTGCAGAGGTGGAGA